CACTTGTCACTGCTGACTTAAAGAGCAATAGCACGTCCACTGCGCACAGGAACGGGACCGGTTTCCCTCCCCCACCAGGGTACGCAGCCTCAGGCAGGGATGGTCCCCTCTGTCCCATCCGGGTCCAGCCGGCATCCACCCTGCCCGAGATGAGCTGCTGGCATGCTTGAGGACTTAATCTCCTATTTAAGTGAAGTGAAGAACAGATAACCAGTGTCAACATCACCTGCCCGAGTGCAAACCAGCCATTGTACTCCATAATTCCGCTGTCGAGACCCACAGCCTCCGGGGTCCTGCGGCACTGGGAAGGTCTGGAGCTCCCAAGTTAGCAAACACCCCCCCTACTGCAAAATGGTCAACAGAAGATATAATACACACTGTGTTACTGCAAAGCGATTGTATTTGTGCAATACAAAGTGCAACAAAGTGTAGAATCAAAGTTTCGCCTATTTAATCACAACTTGTGGAGCCTTCATCTTTACGAGATGATACAGTTTCAGGTGGAAAACACAAAGTTACTCACAGCTATGAAGTAACTGCTGCTTCCTTCAGGTGGGGTGAGACAGCAAGTGACAAAGATCTGGCTTATTTGGACCAACACCAAAGTAAAGCATAATTTTCCTTTGTTAACTGAGGTTCCCCTGGTGTAATTTCAAGGGCTTTTTAAAATCAAAATTTCAAGTGGAAACTTATTTTAATTTTAATGTACAAAGTGAAGTGACACCGTTACAGCTGTCTCTCGCTGTAAGGCAGCAGGGCTTTGAAGCGGCGCATCCCCATGCACAGAAGTGCATTTCATAACGCGGTGATGGTCTCCGGAGCGCTCTTACTCCGATGTGTGCCAAAGCTTTCAGCCGCGTTACACACCCATCGCTCGGCTCTGCAGCGCAGCTAACCAAGCACAGCTCTGCAGAGCTACTCGGGCTTGAAACAAAAAGGTTTTGTGCCTTGATCAGAACAAGTTTCTGTTCTGGAAGTAGGGTAAGTGATTTCTTTCTGCACGCTCCCTCTGGCTAACCCACAACATCTGCAATAACGAAACCTGTACCTCACAGGGGCTTAAAAAAATTAGTTCCCCATCTCTCAAATCAGCAATGATTAATTGTATCTTGCGTTGTGTCACAAGATGTTTCTAAAGATATCTGCTTTACATGGGGCAGTTCTTATGAATATAAACAGGTTACACCACAAGCTTAACTACATTTTTAAAGACTGCAATAAACAATATTATTAAGAACAAATGTGGCTGCAGATAAAAGTCAAACGTCAGAAACAACTCAACCGATTTGGAAAATCCTACAAAACCCTACAAAAAGACATAAGGAGGGAGGAAAAAATGAAAACCAGAATCCACAGTGCCAAACTTTTTTACCTAGATGCTATTAATATATGCTATATATACAGCTTGTGTATATTGAATAACAGGTTGGACACCACAAACTCACCTGAAGGTGTAAGAGCTTTTGAGCCGGATCTTACACGTTTTGGTGAGGCTTTTCTGCTTATCACACAAGCAATACCTGTGCCAGCCTTGTCCTCACCTCTACTGAGCTTCAGTTACAGCAGCAGAGGCTGTCCTGGTCCTGCTGTACTGCCAGGACGGCGTCCCGCTGCACTGGGACCGTCCAGCTCCAGCTGAAAAAACGGGGGTATGGACCCTCCATCACCCCCAGCCTTCCTAATCAAGGCTGCCCTGAGTTAACCGCGTGCATGCAAGTAAAACACCAAATTCAGTTCTACATAATTGTCAGCTTGCATGAAAATTTAGATAGCTCCTCAGCAGCTGAAGATATTCAGAATAGACCATGACTGGATTTAACACAGAAACAACAACAAAATAGATCCATTCTCTCCCCACTCTCTTTTTTTCTGTTTCTGTTAGTTTTGTGTTTGTTTTTAGGTTTTTTGTTTGGCTGTGGGGTGGGCTTTTTTGGCTTGGCAGGGGTGGATGTTGATTTTTTATTTTTTTTGACAGTGGCCAGGGGAAACCAGCCTGGAAGACAAGAGACTCACATGCCTCTTCCTCTCCAGCAAGATCATTTTAGTCAGCAGAAAACCACCCAGTTCAAAAGCTATTCTAAACCAGCACCATAAAGTTCTTGCCTCCCAGTTCTGCCCTCACCCCACAGCGCGAGTACCCGCAGGTGATTCAGCGCAGCGAATGACAGCACGCCACGTGAGCTCATTTCTTAGCAGACTGCCTGCTCACATCACACAAGGAAGTAAGTGCTTTCGGACTGCCAGTAAGAGGAGGATCAGATCTTTTTTGTGCCAGCAATTTCTAGATCAAGATATTTACAGTATTACCCACATTACAATCATGTGTGCCGTTGAAGGTACGAAAAAAGAAGATATAACACAGCCTTTAACTATAGATCCAGGGTTTAGGCTAGGTGAAATGATGCAGAAAGTTCAAACTACTCCCTATTTCTTAAAAGAAAACACATATTTATAAAAGAGTATGCAGGGGGTCCCAACAATGCATCTTAATGAACAGGTCTGTGCCTCGGATCCAGCCCACTGGATCACTTTCAGATTTCCAAAGACCTAATGCGAACTTGATCTAGAGCTATGTCTTTATTAGCAGAATGTTTATTTTGTGATCTCAACTCAAAGGTCAATATTCCAATCTAAGCTTCAGGAAAGCCCTCAATGGGAACACATCTGACAACGTGACTCAGTATTCCCTATCTTACCCATTGTATTGTATGAGGTATTTAGGAACCAGGACATTTACGGAAATGAGTTTCACAAAACTTAATGCAGAGTGATGATTAGGTTTTATTATAGACATCGTTCACACTTTAGCTGGAGAAACAATGTATATGGAAGAGCGCAAAACAAGATAGCATGCAGCACTTATTATTTTATTGCTCTCATTTTTCTACACACTATCAGTTATTTCCACACTACTTTATTTACACAGAATCCAGATTTTGCTACTTTAATCATTCACTACTACTTAAATAACACTATCAGTGAATTGGCTGCTTTATCAGTTAGACTGGTAACCAGGATATCAGAGAACTCAAGCTTTTATCAATATTAACTTTGAGATGAAAGCCAGTTGCAAACAGATTGCTCTACAGGTTAACCATCATTACCGATTCTCTCGTCTACATCCATCCCATTATTATGGTGCAGTTCTCACGCCATGTGCTTCTCCATCCCTCCCAACACCTCCACCTCACCAGTTGAGACCAAAGGCAAGACTAAATTAGGCCAGGTGAGCTGGCATGATTCATGGTGGGAGGACACTGCTCTCCCTTCGCCCCAACACAAAGCCAATAACCTTTAAACAGACATCAGGAATTGCCACTTCCCAGCTCCGGCAAGAATTCATAGCATCTATCATACATCACTGTTTGAATCCGCTGTTGTGGGGTTTGGGTTTTTAGGAGGTTTGGGTTTTTTTTTTTGGTTTTTTTTTTTTTTTTTTTTTAATCATTAGCAATACACAACAGTAATTACAAACAAGTACCATTCTGTTCTAAAACATACAATACCTCACATAGTTTACAGAAAAGTTACTTTTGTTACAAAGCACAAAAGATGAACACCTGTAGGTAGCTTATATGGTGTCCTAACGAACGACACCATTTGTTCTCCTTCCAGTTAACAAGGGAATTCACATAAAAATATGTAAATGTTTATACACACCCAACACAAGGAGATAATATTGCATTCAATATGCATCACAAGTACAGTAGAAGACTGGTGAAATTCTTAGTTACTATTCTCCTCCCTCCCTTGTCCCATATTAGAAGTTTACCAGAAAGATACGAAGGGCATGCATTGCAGAGCTGACTCTTCCAATTTCTAAATGTAATTCTCTTTCCTTCTCCCACATCCCCTCCCATACATACATGACCATACAGTCACCAGTAACCTCTGCTGCCCAGATAATGCCAACAGACTGAGTCAGCCACAAATGACCCCCTGCTTCAGCTCAGCCTGCTCCACTGCCCTCTCTTCTGCTTCTTCTCAAGAAGGTTTCTGTGCAACAGCATTTCAGTACTGTTCTAATAACGCTAAGCTCATGTAAACACTGATACTTTTGCTCTGAGTGTTAAGCAACACGTTGTTGTATGTTAAGTTGTAGGCAGGTTTAGGCTTTGAATGATGTAATGAATTTTGTGGCATCTTTTCACACCCAGCTTCTTTTGAGACATGTTTTTCCTTTAGCTAATTCCATGCAATTCCTGATTCTATCAGTAAAGCTGTACAGCGTCAAACTAGAACCCTTTACTAGTTCTTCCTCTCCTTCGCTGAAAAGGTGACATCACCAACTCACACTGCATCTAGACCAGCTAGCTCTGTACCACCAAGAACCAGCCAACTTAAATAGCTCTACACATCTAAGACAAAGATATGAGACTGAGCTTGCTTGCCCAAGCTTCCAATCAAACAAAGCAATAAGAGAACAACAGTCATATGTATTACCACAAGAAAGCTGCAACTTTTCTTATATTGCTGGAAAAAAGGCATCATTCAGGATAAAGGCCAAACTTCACATCCTGACATAAAAGTCCAATACTCCAAAATACTCATTTTTAGTTATCAGTCCCCAGAAATCAAGCTAGTTTGATGCCTGTAACACCTTTTCTAAGATTTCTCTTGGGCTTTTGCTTTCTGAAATGTGCTTGTAAATATCTTTGTTGATCAATGTATTGTTTCCAACTCTTGACAGTCCTGACAGCTATCTTCCCTCTCGATAGTCCTTACACTTGCAATGACTACATAAGAAGACTGAACTTAAATAGCTGCATTAAAAACTTCACCTTTGAGATACTGAGACGCCACTGAAATGAAAGACAGAAACCAGTAACAATTTTTGCAGATGGTCTCAGTTTCAGAGGCACCTCTGCACAAGCGCAAATGTCCCTGTCCCTCTCCCTCTCCCTTTCCAATAGTAAGTCCAGCCTAAAAGATCAGACGTTTATTTCCAGCATTACAACAGTGTCTTTCCTTGTTCACACCAGTGAACAGTTCCTACTTACATATCCCAACAATAACAGAGGGCGTGTGTTCCAGTCGCAAGTAGAAGAGAAGATTGTAAAAATTGAAACAGATCAGAGAGAAGCATAAGATGACAGAGATCCATTCTTGTAGTCTCTTTCCTGTTGGAAAAAGAGGAAAAAAGCATGTTTTACTTTTATCTGAGAGGACATTTTGAAGTCTGATATAATACAGACTATTCTACTGCCTGGATGACTCACTCCATTTGTCTGACAGGGAACTGAAACAGAAACTTATCCATGGGAGATGTGTGTATTTTGTTAAATGACATTCCTCTTCCCCGAGCCGCTGCTAACCCCTTCCCTCTGCCCTTGCCCAAATAACAGGGACAAATCAGACATTATCTCACATTGTCCTAGTTTCCTTTCCCCTGTGGTTGCTGGCATAATGTTCCTCTGCATCACATCTTTTTTCAAATTTGCATTTCATTCAATATTCAGGAACAAATTTCTGGCCTCAGATGCCCCACAGTTAAGTCATCTGTAATATTTAAAATCTCAGAGCTTGTACATAAAGCTGTTGTACTAACAGGAAAAAGCATCATCCTGTATTTTGGTGGCCCTAGAATTGCTTTCTTAACATTGCAAGTATACTTCTTAAGCTTGCTTACTGAACTCCTGCAGTCTTGTCTCTGCCCTCCCGCTCCCAGGGAGAAGGCTGTGGCCTCTCAGCCGTTCTGAGGTGACATGAGACAGAACAAGCAAAGAGAAAGAACTGTGCAAATTCTCTCTTGTACCTTGCCGTACTACTTCGTACCGCTACAGAAAACTCATTTATTGCCTATAGAAAGGGAACAGACAGATGAGAGTGTGGTAACACCTTGAATATTCAGATTAGCAGCAAAAGTCTGCCCGCTAATCACTGTGAGATCCTCACAAGACACTGATGTTGAGAGCGAGAGAATGCTGAATGCGAGATCCGTATGGATTGAGGCATCAGGAACAGACCTCTAATGCCTAAATCCAAGGAGATCCAAGCCGCCAACTTGGCCCAGAAGGGCCCTGGCTGTGGTTAGCTCTTAACACACTGCGGTGCAGACAGGTCAGTCTTCACCTATTTTAGGGGCCAGGGAGCACAGCTGGCTCTTGCCCGTGGCTTCTCAGGTCACACATTGATTTCCGGCATGACAACGCAGTCTTGCCTTGTTCACGCCAGTGAACAGTTCCTGCTTACACATCCCAACAACAACAGCAGGCGTGTGTTCCAGTCACAGTCCCTTCCCCACTCCCTCCTGCAGCCTCATACACTTCGCACCACCTGAGTTTGAGGCGACGCAACGTGCAGGGCAACAATCAGTAACGACCGCGTGCGAGGCGCACGTCCTCCCACAGCAGCAGAGGCATACTCCCATGCCTGGCATGTGTGCAGGAGAGGAGCTTCTTTCCCACTAATCCTCGATGTTGACCTACCGTCTGGTCAAATTTCTCCTCCTAAATGCTCAATCAAGTCCTTCTTCTCAACTATCCCATTCAATGAAAAGGAAACTGGAAACCAAAGGAGGATCGGTACTATCTCCAATGTGTGTACAACGCAATATTTTAAAGAAGTCTGAACAAAGACTTTTACAGTTCAAAGTTTTGTTCTAGAAATGCCATGAGTATATATAAATTAACATCTTCTGCTGTAGCAGAGAAGAAAATTGTAAAATTAAATTAAGACACAAGAACAACCATATTTCAAGACAGCATCAGGTCACAATGTGGGAGATTCTATAAAGAGATCCCTGGAGTAATGAAAGTAAGAGTTAATTAACACTTGCTTCCTGCATAAGAAAACCACACCCTGATTAGAGGACCTAAGTGGGTAGATCCTCACGGAACAATTAGCCGACTGCGGGCAAACACGAGGCTCCTTACTAGCAAGTCCCATGAGTTCAGCCTATGCAACCAGCACGGTACTCTGCACACAGGGATCCCAAGACGGCTCTCCGGAGATATCAGAGTCCAGAAATGCAGCCCCAGCTCTGGACAGACCAGGAAATCAATCGAAGGGGCAGAGTCAGCACCAACAACTTGTGTTTAAAGAGCGCTCAAACTTAAAAAGTATGTCCCACGTGAAGGAATAAGGTGCCAAAGCCCCACAGCATATGCTTAAAGAAACCATGGAAATACTCCAGAGTCATATTCACTCTGCACAATTATATGTAATCCCTGTTCCTAAGAATTCAGTATCACATGCTTCCACCCTAAGACATATTCTGACGTTGTTCATGTAAGTTATTTATGTAACAACCGAAAAAAAATTGCATATCTAATATATTATCACAGGTCACTGCTGATAAATATCACTATACCTATACTACTTTACAGACTTCCCAGGAACTTCTGTCTACAGCTAAAGATAAGGGTAGCATGTGCTTTGGGAGGAAAATCCTTTCCTTATGAGCAAGAGCACAGCGCAATAGCAAAGTTAGTGATTGCTTTTCTGTAAAGCACTGGGATCAGTCACTGCCTGGATCAGAACCGCATATCACAACCAAATGAAAGACATCGCACACTACCTTCTCTCAAGGCAAGGAAGAGGTGACCAATACAAGCCGAAACGGGCAGGCTTACCCTGAACAGTCTAGAAAACTGAAAAACTAATGAATACCTTTGTTTTCTTATCATTACTTGGCTCTGTGCAAGCAAGAACACCTGCTTGACCAGTAATTGCCTTGAATGTGCAAGCTAAGCTGTTCAGCTGACCTGCTGGAAACTGCAAGATGCTGAAAACACATCTTCCCTTTCCTAACCCTTCACCTGCAAATGAATTCCCTGGGAATGGCAAGAATACCTAGCATTGCTCACACTGCGAGCCAAAAACATCGACATATTTTATTACAAGTAATTTACAGTTATTTCCACAGCATAATTGAATAGCCACAGTCACTTTATTGAGCTCCGACAAATAGCAGGCTTTAGGAAGACAAGACCAAAACAAAAATCCCAACATCCCCTCGCCACTTTCTGAGGCGCCAGGACTGGGTATCTCAGAGTAGTTCACCGAATAAATACTCTGAAGCAAAAGCTTCTGTTGTTATCTTGCTTAGAACCAAATTTGTACACCTGGTTTTGGATGGGAAGGTTAACTTTTTGTGTGATCATTATTGAAGGGAAGAGGATTCTGGACAGCTTCCAGTTCAAAAACCTCCACCCCAGCAGCCAGAGCATGGGTCCACAGCTGAGACGCCAACTCCAGCCCCATACTGGCACCTTTTCGTAAGCTGACCATCTAACCCTACAAAGCTTTCCTTAACCTCTCAAAACTTTGCTTTAAAAGCAGTGTGCCACGGACACTCATCAAGCCTCCGTTTTCCATCGAGAAGCGCCAAACGCCCAGCGGGACCAGAGCCCGGCACGGCTGGACGGCCGCACAGCACACGCGGCCAGGGGAA